GTGCCTACTTCAAGGGATACTCGAGTGACTTCAGTGGCAAAGGTTTGCAGCTGTAGTTAAATGAATGAATTACCTAGGTGATGAATTCTATTCCGTATTTATGTTAACAAATAAGCAAATTTAATATAATTTTACCTGATCCACCATAGTATTTATTGTATTTTTAAGGTCCAAGATTTCTCCCTTGACATTAACAGTAATCTTTTTGCTAAGATCACCTCTAGCGACAGCTTTAGACACATCAGCAATATCACGGACCTGAGCAGTAAGGTTTTCGGCCATTGTATTGACGTTATCGGTTAGAAGTTTCCATGTTCCATCAATATCTCGAACTTGGGCTTGTACACCCAATTTACCTTCAGTGCCGACCTCATGAGCAACGCGAGTGACTTCAGAAGCAAATGAATTCAATTGATCAACTACAAATATATGATAAGTATGTTAATATAAAGGTCGTTCAATCATTTGAATCCATCATTATTAGGAACACTTACCCATGGTATTAATTGTGTTTTTCAGGACAAGGGTCTCTCCTTTTACCTCAATGGTAATCTTTTTACTAAGATCACCGTGAGCGACGGCGGTACATACCTCAGCAATATCTCGCACTTGTTTAGAATGGTTACTGGCCATCATATTCAAATGAATCATCATGTCTCGCCAGTCGCCTTCCAAATTTTCACTTTTAGATTGCACTCCTAATTTGCCTTCCTCAACGACCTCACGAGTAACATGGATTAACTCGACAGATACACGATCGACTTTATCAACCATGCTATTAATCGCATTTCTTAGCGTTAGCATTGGGCCGGATGCGGTTTGACAAGTAACTCTTTTTTTAAAATCACCATTAGTAATGGCGATTGCGACTCTTGTACATTGATTAATGCATTCTAGACAAACTTGATCATCTTCCAAAGTAGGGGGGGTACTAGGGGGACTAACCGAATCAAAATCGTCATCACTTTTTTGATTATTTATAACGGGTTGATAATTTGTTGCTTCAGCGGGATAATCATTCTCAAGACCGGATTGTTTTACGAAATCTTCATTAGGTGTAATAGGTAAGGAATTACTATCGTTAATAATGATTACAGAATCATTTTCATTTAATAATGACTGATAATGGGCGACCTCTCTTTCTAAATGAACTTGTCGTTCTAGAAGTTTTCTCAAGACAGTATCAAACTTTTCAATTTGCTCATTATGTGGTCCTTTATAACATAAAGTCTTGCAATACTCTACATTGCCATCATTAATGTTTTGAAGGACGTCGGTAACGTACCCGAGAACTTCCGTCATGTATGTGAATAAAATAGAACGGGGGATTTTTCTTGTTTTAATTTATTTAAAATAAATTATGGAACCCAACTCGTTGGAATTTTTAAAAAAGTTTAGAAACCAAACAAAAAAAAAAAAATTGAACCTAGTGTTTGTAATGTGAGAGTAATATTAAGAAAAGGTTTGCAAGAGTATAAAAAATGATATAGATGTATTTTACAAAGCAAGTTAGAGATGAAAACTTCCTCTCATGAAAAATTTAATTATGAGAGAGGTTTATTAACTCGGTAAATGATAATAAACCAGCCCAAAGTACTAAAGGGTGAAAAGTTAATGATACATGGAAAAAAAAAATTTGAACTATTTATAAAAGCAAGTAAACATACATTGAAACATGGAAAAAGTTAAATCACATCTCGATTTTATCCTTATCACGAATAAGCAAATCACATAAATCCAGATGCAGATTTCGTCATAATACATTATGTCACTACAATATAAATATTTTCGACACTCGCTTTTATCCGTTTGAATTAATATAGAGTAGTATAAATAAATATATCACGGATTTACCTAAATAATAAAATAAAATAAAAAAATAAATAAATAAATATTTATATAAATATTAAACTTATTCGGCACGCTGCGTGATATATGTGTCAATCAAAATTATTTCGCATTTTCAAAGTCCGTTATATTTTAATAATAATATATATACAAACTATAGTTGATAATACAAAAGTAATACATTTAACAGTAGAATTTCCACTATAAAAAAACAAAGAGGGTATATAATAATATAATATACTAATGTGAATAATAAAATAATGAGAAAGGAAGGAATAACAACTAGTATCTACAAGTTTACTACAAATATATATACAAATTAAAAAAAAAAATCATGACATGAAAGCAAGAGAAATATACAAATAAAAATTGATAAATTGAATTTTTTTAAAAAAAACAATTGTCCAAAACGGAATAACTAAAATAATAGGGAGTATGTGAATGTGATAAGTACATAAAAACGTGATATATCGTACTATCCTACTCTCTAAATAAATATTTATTTACAAATAAAATGTTCATTTATTCTTTCGCTGTTTTTAAACCACACAATTTACCAATAACGTACAACGCGATAACGACATCCAACAAATTGGAATTCTCGATTACCCATGATGAAGTTTCGGGGCCAAGCGTTACGAGCTTGATCCTTTTGTAAAGGACGTGTACCATTATCTTGCGACAATTGTTGTAAAGCGACAGTAGCACTAATTGCGTCATAAAGGTCATGTTCGGTTAAAGGTGATGGTGGTGTTTGATAAGGAGATGTGGGATGAACAGTCGGAGGAGGATACGGGGTGTAAGGATCTATTTGTGTATGACTATGGGTGGTTGTGATATTGGAAGATTTGAATGAATGAGATATTCCATTATGACGGGTTTTAGACATCAAATCGGCAGCTTCGGTAGGTGAGTATTGGTGTTTTACGTCGTAATGTTGAGATGAGCTGGAATAAGCTGAATCCGAACCACGACGATCGATAACTAATGATTTGTCTGGATCACATTCAGATGATGAGTTTTCATCATCACCAAGACTACCGTTCTCTGGGGATTGATGCCTCCTTCGCTTGGATAATAGCTGATTTTCTAACATATTCTCAACGAAATGTAAGTCCTCAGCTGTTCTCTTTTGCTTGCGTAAAATAACCAAATGACGATTACTCTCCACGCTTTGAAATTTGGAAAACTGTAGAGATTGATCAACTGAGGAGAAATCATCATGAATTTCGCACTTTACATTATTAGTATTCTCACCGCCATTTTCTTCGATTGGAGATGATATAATTCTACTAGCTTTCATGCCCTTGTCTTTAATATTATTCGTGATAGAAATGTTATCTACACGAGTATCTTTTGGTTTGCGTCGTTGCCGTTTCTTAGTTGGTACTGAATCGGTGAGAGTCAAGCGCCCAAATCCGGGCTGCGTCGGATCTAATGTTTGCGAAGGAAATGAAGGCCCAAACAAAGGAACAAGTTCCTCGCGAACAACATAACATGTCCGACGACAAAGCTCATAAGCCTTTTCATGTGGCATCCTTAAAAAATGCGAAAGAAAGAGTATATTTAAAAGTTAATTCAATAATAATTGAGTGAATGATCAAACCAATCAGTTGTAAGATAAAAAAAAAAAAAGAAAGAAATTAAATTCACAAACCAAGTTCCTTGGATCTTAAGAAATCCTCCTCTAACTTTTTTAATAGTTGATGCTAAATCCGGATGCGTATCGACTAATCTAGCGATATCAGCTTTGTTATTCCCGAGGGCTTTCCATATACCGGTAAAATGAACGTATCCATTCTCTCGATCCCACATAATTGGCTGGTCGTTAATGATGAATTCATATACTGATATATATAGGATTTATTATTATATAGTGTCAAATGAAAAAAAAAAACAACTAAATTAAAATAAAGTTCATTTACCAGGAATATAACCTCGAGAATCCAATGAAGTTGAATATTTTGTTCTCTTGATTTTGATATTGGTAGCAGTATAAGGGCGGTAAGCCTCAGGTTCATTTTTGTTCCCGTCGTCGTCGTCAGATACTTGCTGTTTAATAGTTCTTTTCTTTATCATGACAGATTTGTGTCTCTGACGTACTACAGGTGGTAAATTGTCGGCAACAATTGATTTTTGACCAGTAGCACTTGTTTTAGCGAAAGGTTTTAAAGTTGGAATTAGTTGTGACATAATAAATTGATCAAGAAAGAGAGAGGGTGTATTGTGTTAAGTATAGACACTAATTATGATACAAATTGCTCGAAGGTATGAATCCTTGAACAATGAATTGAAGGTGAACAATTCGTCAACAGAAAGTCTTAAATACAAGTGCACAGTGCAAAGTTAAAAGAGATCAAAAGTTATTATATAATTGTGGAGAAGTTTTTTTTTTTAAAGAAAAAGAAAAGAATGTTCAACGAAACCGAATTCGGAGTTAATCAATGGTGAAGGTAAATAAGTGGATAGAAAAAAAAAATTAGTTAAATTATAGAATTTTTAAAAACGGCTTTAAGTTAAGGAAGGTATAGTGGGGCAGTTGGCAATAACCGTACAAATCGTGAAGCAGAAAGAAGTAACAAAGAATGAAGCTTAAGGTAAGTAGAGGAAGGATAAGAAATGAAATAAAGGAAGGCGCGGACGAACTTAAAAAAGAAGACCGAGGACAGTTTCCATAGAAGGAGTATTTGGTAACCCTGAGAAAAATTTAGCCTCAAGATATAATTTTGCGCAGTAGATTACTGTACCACCATAGTGATGAGTAAGTCGAAACTTTCCCCCCACAATTTTATAATTTGTGTTCCTCCCTCTCGTATATTCGCATTGTAAATTCTAGATTTTTGAATTATAAAAACGATGATGTAACGAAAATTGGGAGGGAAACTACGAAATATTATAAACTAATTAAGGTTACAATAATGTAAATTGTTATCAAACATTTTGTAGTACAATATATTAAGATTTTGAAATAATGTAATCATGCATCGTTAGAGTTTTATTTCTAATTATAATTTTGTACTATACTAAAAATAAACATTTTGGACACGCTCTCGTGACAATTTTATGATAATCGGGACTATTTTTATCAAATTCCACATACAATTTCAAAGAATTTATTGATATAATTATATATATACATAGACGTGATCTAATTATTTCATTAACTCAATTAGTCCCAACTCGTGTTTAACTTGATCACCGGCAAAAGTAGGTGGATAATGAGAAAGATTCGGCTTAAATGGCTCCAATGGTTGCAAGATTTGGTCACTCGCAACGTGAAGGAAGAAAGTGGACGATATACGCCAGAGAGGACGGTCTGGTCTCGTCTTTTTAGCATCCTCGATTGACTAAACATAAAACAAGTTAGATAATAATGGATTATGATAAGGAAACAATAAGTAATTACCTTGATCGTATCTTTTGTTACTACGACTTCATGAAATCCAGCTTTTACTTCTCCACCAGTAATCCACTCAAGTTGTTTTCCAGCTTGAACTAAAACAGTGGAATGATGAAAAGTCAGTGTGATCGTTCGATCAAATGTAACAAGGATAACGAAAGAATTTAAACTATGAAATTATGTACCCAAGAGGTGACCATCCGGTACGCGGACCTGCATTTTTACATCTCCATTATGCGGCCAAATATGTAAACCGGGATAACGGGATTTCCCGTGAATCGTCCTTAATTTAGTTATTAAATGTAAATATAAATTTCACAAGTAAAAACAAAATAGTTTTTGTTGCAAGATCTTCCATCTAATAAATCAATACTAACAAGAAATTCAAGTCATAATGAAAACCTATTTAAAACGAATAAATTAGAAACTCATCGAGAATTTACAAATGCAATGCTCATTATTGATTTTACCAGCAAAAATAGTTCCAATCTTTCCATACTTGTCTAAATCACTTCCTGTTGGAGCTAATAAATGTGGACCATTTTTTGTAAGATCAGGTAATTCACCGGCATGCATCCCAAACCCGACAGAAGCCATTTCAGCAACACCAAGAACGACACGGTGCATTTGATTTCCCCATTCGTCCATTATGTTTGGCCATTTATCTTTAAATGCTATAAGCGAAAAAGGTTCTGTTAATTTCGGAAGAAAAACGTAATGATTCCTAGACAACGAACCTTCTGGAATCACAGGATCTGCATTGAGTCGTGGATAATTCGTTGCTTTTGGAATCTCTCCAATTCGCCAAAAGAATCGCCATTTAGGATCGGGCCCAGATATAGGTAAGGGTCTAATTTCCTCTGGTAACTAATCGTAAAACTTTTATGAATACCAATTATATTTTTCTGGTGGAAGTTATAAAATTTCATACTTGGCTAATTAGTTTCTGGCAGTTGATATCCCGGTGGCATTTAGGTTCTTCCGTGAATTCCGGAGTGACCCCAACTTGATATCCAAGGTCTGGACGCGCATCTTTAAGTTTAACCTTGATATTTCAAATAGATTTTGTTAACAAAATCCATATGAAATTATTTTTATGAAAAGGTGGTTACCTCTAATGGCTGAGCGTAATAATCTTCAAGTAAATCCTATTGATATGATATAAAGTGATGACATTTTTATTTATTTATTTATTTTATTTTATTTTTTTTTTTTGAATAAAACATTATATACAAACCAAAAAACGAGCATTATCCTCTTCCTTTACGCCTGAGTTACGAACTAATAAAGCGCCATATTCACGTAAAGCATTCGCAACCTAAAACATTTTTGCTTTTAAGCATAGCATTCTGTGTTACAGGGTAATGAAAAAGTCTGTATTTAAATTCACCTTTTGACATTCATTTATTGCTTCTGAAGCTGTTTTATCTCTCGTAAAAAGTTCCAAATCAATGATAGGAAGAGTAAAACTACTCATATTGAACCTTAGTATTAAATTTAGGAACAAAAACTAATTTAAACTTGTCATCGGACAGGGATTGTTCCGTGTAACATCCCTTAAAAATATCTCGCGTTTTTCGCGATATTTAGAATGCTATAAATTACTTATTAGCAAATCAATGAAATTACAAAAATTAATCCTCCGAAACTTGTCTAAGCCCTTTTTACAAAAATAACTATTTTATTTATGAAATTAAAAGAGAAAGTTAACCATTTTTGCATAATATATTCATTGGAAAAAAACTTTATTAGCATTTATTTAGAAATGATTTTTCATTTCGATATTTAGTGAAGAAATCAAAAAAAAAAAAAAAGGAAGATTTTCATGATAAAAAAGTTGTTTTTGTCGCATAAATGATGGAAAAATTGAGTCTTGATTCATCATTGTCAAGAACCCGGAAGAACGTTCGTAGTCGTTTGTTGACTGTGGCCACGATGAGCTTTCAATTCGTTGATTCGTGTATTCTATTTACCATGTAACTTCCAACAAAGTCATTCGGAAACAGGGAAGAATGTTTACAACGGATGTACGTTGTGACCAAGGAAGAGCTTTCATTTCCCAGATTATTGTGGCAGAGCAGCTTCGGATAACTTGGTAAAACTACTCACCCCTAAACTTATTTCGATGCTACTTCCCCTTTTCAAGGAAGATTAAATTTTTAAACAAAAAAAATTTTAACCCCAAAACGCCTCATGCCTTGGTTGTTATCTGTTTAGTAGAGGTTAAATGAACAGGAGTGAGCTTTAATCACCGCACACTCGTTTTATCTTACCATAACTAGCAAGCATGACGATGAACTTAAAAGAATTCTTAATTATCAATTTTCAGTTTCGTCACAAATCATGATTTTCAAATCAAATAACCGAATATCTTTTACAGATTTCTTTTTATTTTATATATATATGTATATAATATATATGCAGTTTTTTTTTTACTTCTATTAATTTATAGATATAGGAATCCCAGTAATGACATCAAAAACCATTTTCCAAAATTTACCTTTTTTCAGAGCAGGTACAATAAAAAAGTTTAATAAATTTTTGAATTTGCCTAGTTCGATCTTAAATAAATCACATTAAACGAACTTTAGGAGCAACTACACGTTTGTTTTCCACCTTACGGTTTGATTCGAAGGAAGGTGAGCTGCGGTTAGTTTGACTTTTTGACTTTTGTTTTTATCGAAATGATTTTGATCATTTCAAGAATAGTTTTAACAATATTCTTACCAATTAACATAAAACTATTTAATCAGCCTTTAGAAGTAATTTAATTCGTGGGTTCGTTACAGAGAGTAAACCAGCAATTTCCTCGAACCCTTCAAAGCCTGCTGACATAACCAAAAAGTCGGAACCTGGTGACTTTGCTCTGGCTAAGCCCGCTAATACTGCAGGTAACTTCATTCTTCAATTATTTTGCGTGTAACAAACCATTACTAATAAACTCTCATTTTCGTTATAGAATATGTGCTGTCTACTGTAGACCAGATTGTAAATTGGTCTCGTCAGGGCTCGATTTGGCCTATGGTAAAAAAAAAAAATAATAATAATAATTAGTTCAATTTTGATTTTTATTAGTAAATATCATATTTATTATGGCATTTTATCATATTATTATAGACTTTCGGTTTAGCGTGTTGTGCGGGTATGTAAAATAACAATTATTTGGCATAAAATTTAACAAATTTCTTACAATTGTTCATCTTTACAACATTCAGTTGAAATGATGCATATGGCAGCAGCAAGATATGATCAGGATCGCATCGGAATCGTATTTCGCGCATCTCCTCGCCAGTCTGATGTTATGATTGTCGCAGGTACCTTAACTAATAAAATGGCGCCTGGGTTAAGAAAAGTTTACGATCAGGTATGTCTATATCTTATATGACTTTCTTTTCTATAAACATTTGTTGATTAAAATCCTATTTTTTGAATTTAGATGCCTGAACCCCGGTGGGTGATTTCCATGGGTTCATGTGCAAATGGTGGCGGATACTATCATTATTCTTACGCTGTTGTTAGAGGGTATATTTTTATTCATTAGATTATTTTTTTTTTTAAAAAAAAAAATAAAAAATAAAAAAAAAGGCTAGTAAATTAAGACAAATTATATATTTCTAGATGTGACCGAATCGTTCCTGTAGACATATATGTTCCGGGATGTCCTCCGACAGCAGAGGCGCTAATGTATGGTGTATTACAGCTACAAAAGAAAATGAGGCGTTCTAGGGTATTTAAGATTCTTTTAGCTTCAATATGGATTATGCATTAAATTTAGTTCTAATCTCTTCTCTTTTTATTAAGGTTACTCAACTTTGGTACCGAAAGTAGTTAATTCAACAACTTGATGCGTTTCATATTTATTATCATTAAAATAGAAATTCATGAAAAATTATGTAGCGATTTTTTAAGGTGAAATCAAAGAATAAATTTTATGTAATAGCATAATTTTGGTCTCTGTGATCCATACCATATTTTTATATGCTTTATATTTATTTCATAGATTTTATGTACATTTAAGGATTGCCTAATCATATATTTACCATTAACAATTCATCCGTATTTGCGATTTACTTTCAAATAAACATTTTCTCGAATATTTCATTTTCTTAACATATAACTTTTAGCTATATCATCAAAAGTGCTTTTCTTATTAGTTAATAATCATTACTAATTATGGTTATAGGGTTTTTTTTTTTACTTTAAACGAATTTCAACGTAAACAAATAATCTTTATAATAAATTTTTTTTGTTTCTTGTAAATGATGAAATGTTGCATTGTTAATCCAAATTTGAATGATTATAAGTATAAATAATTCGATTTATTATATAATATTATCCTTTGGATTAGAAGATCACATTACAAGAAGTTTTTTTTTTTTATTTAGTGTGTTATTTTATATAAATGGGTTGTACATGAAACGCATCTCTGATGTACATATATATACACCAAGCTAAAATTATAGCACTATAACTATAATTTAATACAACTTTTTAAATTTGCGTTTGATACTCGGTAAAAAAAACAAGGACGTTTTTCTTCGTGGACAGTAATTCACATAACTTTAAGAGGTAACAAAGGAAGTAAAGGGTTCAAGAAATAAAACTAAACTACTTTAAACAAAGGTATAACTATAAAGAAAAGAACAGGTTGTTTATTTTGAGATAACATAAAAAAAAAATACCATGACCGCAGAACAAAAACTAAGAATAAACTATTTTTATGATCGTAAGTAACTTATTATTCGTTAAGTTGTGAAGGAAGGGTTGGTGTTTTATTATCTTTTGAGTTCTTATGAGAGTTCGTTAGCTTTGATATAGGTCAAAATATCAGATATTTTTGGGAGTAAGGAAAGCGAAAATAATCCTTGATATTTCATCAAATTTATATGGTGGCTATCTTAAATATTTTTTTAGATGCGCTCGGCATTTTTACGCATGGTACAAATCATCCTATGAAGCCCTTTAGAGTGAGGATGACTCATAATCTAGTGATGAATTATGGATTATGCAAGAAGATGGAAATTTTTGTATGGAATTTTAAAAGTTTTAATTTGATATTATTGTTCTTGTAATGAAAAGACTCGAATTAAATCAATTATTGTTCTACAGAGACCAAAACCAAGTACAATCGATGAATTAACACAATTTCATACGGACGATTATATAAATTTTCTGGGTAAGGTGACTCCGTCAAATATGGAATCATGTATAAAAGACTGTACCAGATGTAAGTGCTGTACTTTTCTTGACTTATTCACATTTTTAAATGATGGTGGATTGTTAATTTATGCGTTCATTTTTTCTTGTCAGTTAATGTTGGTGATGATTGTCCGGCTTTTGATGGGTTACTTGAATATTGTAGACGAGCAACGGGAGGTTCTCTCGGTTAGTAAGTGTTTCCTTTGTTCAATGCAATTTTATTCCTATTTTTATTATTTTTATTTTAAGTTTTTTTCTGATATTTCATAATCTTAACAGAAGGTGCTGCAAGATTAAATCACGGGTTATGTGATGTAGCCGTAAATTGGGCTGGGGGCTTACATCATGCCAAAAAGCAAGAAGCAAGCGGGTTTTGCTATGTAAACGACATAGTGGTCGCAATATTGGAACTATTAAGGTAAATAATTTCGGATGAGGATTCTTTATCAATATCCGTATTTGATAATTCATTGTAAGAAAATAAATGATTTATTTATTAAAAAAAAAAAAAATAGGTACCATAAACGTGTACTTTACATCGATATCGACATTCATCATGGAGACGGTGTGGAAGAAGCATTTTATTCAACAGACCGAGTGATGACATTGAGTTTTCACAATTTTGGTGAATATTTTCCAGGAACTGGAGATATACATGTATGTTTGCATTCTCTTCCGTGAATAATATGAATAATGGCAAAAGCTAGGCGGTGGGTTTTTTTGGTCGATAACTTTATCATGTAACGTTTATACATTAATCTTACACATTCATTGCATTTAAAATATAGGATATGGGTATTGGAAAAGGAAGATATTATTCTGTGAACTTTCCATTGAGAGAAGGAGTTGATGATGCGACTTATAAAAGTGTGTTCGAACCGGTAAATATTCACTCGAATTATTTTTTTTTTTTGGCAATAAATGCGACCATTTTAAATAGAATTAACTTACGAAAAATCTATTTAGGTCGTTTCACATGTGATCGATTGGTATAAACCTTCAGTAATTGTCTTACAATGCGGCGCTGATTCATTAAGTGGTGATCGGCTTGGATGTTTTAACTTATCATCTAAAGGTAAAGAAGCGTTTCTCCTGTATTTATTATTAACATCAATTCAAGATGTTCGTTGTATTGATCACTAGAATAATTATGACAACATAGGTCACGCGGATTGCGTTCGATTCGTTAAGAAATTCAATATACCGATGTTGGTGTTGGGTGGCGGTGGATATACCATCCGTAACGTTTCAAGAGCTTGGGCATACGAGACTGGAGTTATTGTTGGGCAAGAAATAGGACCAGGTTTAAAATTTTTCAAATTTATTTAATTTTTGTTTATGTTCAAGATATTGATTAATTATATTTTAAAAAATAAAAAGGGCTACCATCGAATAATAGTGGTAATGATTATTTTGGTCCGGAATATACGTTGATGGTTCATCCTAGCAATATGGAAAATAAGAACACGAGAGAATATTTAGAAAAAATCATGTAAGACTTTAAATTTTTTTTTTTTAAAAAAAAAGGTTTTATGTATCTATTTTGTAATTTATTTATTTTTGCTACAAAACTTTAGCTAATTCATCATTAAATTCGTAAATTATAGGATGACAATATTTGAAAATTTGGATCGATCACGACATGTACCAAGCGTTCAAATACAGGGTTCAAACTTATGATTTAATAATTGCATGGTTATTGAAACTTTTTTTTTCTTTAATTAACAATTTTATCTTTGTGAACTATTCTTTAACAGATATACCGGGAAAAAACCATATATTTGATGACATTAATGAAGATGAAAATGATCCTGATGAGCGAATATCACGTATGTTTCTTCAATGTTTATCTTTGATAATTATTTATGGCAATTTGAACCAATATAAATTGTCTCATCATTATTAGAACAACAATGTGATAAGCATATCGTACCGGACAATGAGTACGAAGACTCATCTGACGAAGAAAGCATATATAATTCCATCATTCCTGTTGAATATGGTCCTTCAAAATATGTAAGGTCCTATCGCCACAAGATAATTCAAAATCGCTCGCAAAAGAATCTATTAAGTAAATTAGAACCTACAGTAAAATACTCTGATATAATATATCCTCAAAATAATAACAATGGACAATTTTCGATGGAAGTATTAGATGAGGTGATTATGGTAGAAGCTAATAGTCCCAAAACAGACGGGATTGTGTCAACATATCCCGTCCGTGATAAAGTTTATACTTTGAAGCCAAGGAGAAATGGAAGCATAAGTTATTATGGTCAAGTAGGTTCAAGTATAAACGGACTGTAACCTAAATCAATTTTTTTTCTTTAATTATTTTATTAATTTTGGTTCAATTTTACAATTTATAATAAATCAAGGCGTAAAATCCATTTTAATTATTCACAAATCATTAACATTCATATTATTTCATTTTTATTAATATTGAGCAAATTTAAAGGTAATTTATTAATTAACAAATGCACTTTTTATTAATACTACTCAAATTCAATAAATTTTTAAAGTTATCAGATTAGTTAAATCTGTACGTTTATGAATTTAATAATAAAATTTATATGTATTTTTATTTAGAAAATAATAACTTTTGGAATTTAAAGATGTTGCAAAATAATAATAAAAAGTGGTAATAAGCCAAGGAATGCATTTTTCCATATAAATTTCGGTTCTTTCAATTCAAATTAAAAATTCGTCGGAATTTTTAAATAATCAGGTAATTTGCTCGGCAAAACTCCAAATTAAGAGTGTCCAGGATTATGCTGTGTAAAATACCAAATTATAAAATAAATTATGCTAAATTATGCGTTTAAAATTTGGCCAAAATAATTTATAATTTAAAAAGGAATTTATTTATACATCGAACCTATTAATTTTTTACTATTAAACGAAATAAAATTTAACATAATGATAGATTCTTTATATAATTGATATTTTCTATCACTTAAAATATTTTTTAAATACATTCAGCATCTACATCTGAAACTGGAAGCCAAATATAAATTAATGTTATATTAGTTAATATTATTGGTAAGATATTTTTTTTTTTTTTATCCAAAATTTTTTTAAATTAAAATCCTTCTTGAATTAATTATTTTCATTAAGATTACTATAAATTTCACATTTTTGAATTAAATTTGAATTTGGAATTTTAAATTCAGGTATAATAGAATATAATAGTTCTTTCTATTAAAAAATGAATATATTTTAGATCAAACATTAAATAGCTTCAAAAAGTGATAAAGCTGAATAATTTAAAATAAGTTTTCAAATTTTTGTAATATACTTTTAAATACATCAACAAAAAAATTTGTAAAATGTTTAATGTTAACTTGTGCTACTTATAATAATTTTAATTTCTTCTGATAATAATAAATACATTATTTTAGATTTTTAATAATACATGTATTTCTTTTACACATAAAATTATATATAAGTTATAGATTACTTACAAATCTTGAAAAACTATTAACTAAAAATAAAATTTAATTTAATTATTTATAAATTTATCAAAATAAATAAATAATCAAATCTTTTAACATTAAAATGAATAAAATCAATAAATATTTTAATTATTATTATATATAAAATATTGTTAAAATAATTACATATATTTTATACTGATTTACTAAGGATTCTCAATTACAAAAATTTTATATAATGAACTCTGTTTGGAAAATAAGCAAAATATACAGCCAAATTTAATTAAAGTATTTAAAATCAGCAAAAATAAATAAAGTGTATGATAAAAATCTTATGTTTATTAATAATTTTAAGTAAATTTAACTATAAAACTATAGGTTTAAACTAAAGGTATAATTCGTTCAAATCTGGATTATCTGAATTACATTCAGTCAAAAAAATCCATTCATATATATTGTACAGATGATTTGAATTTTAAACAGATAATCTGTAATTCTCAAATTTTGATCAGATTTACTAGATTTTATCAGATTCAATAAGCTAATACAGGTTATGAATACAGCACAAAAAAATCAAAAATAAAATACTTTTATTTTATTATTTTATTATAAATTTGTAATGTTAATTTGTGTTTTATTATCATATTTATTGTATTTTTTACAGATTATATTATATTATTTATTTTGTAATAAAGGTTTGTGAATTATATCTAAAATATTATAGTTTTTTTCAAAAATATTATTCTTTTAAAAAATTCTGGACTGATACATGTTCTTTAGGACTCATTAAATTCTCACAATCTAAAAATAATCTCTTATTTGAAGTTGAGATCATTAATATTGAGAGATAAGCAGATGCTAATTCACTTAATATTGGAAATTTTTCTTTGTTAACCTTCTGTCAGGAAAAAAGATCAGTATTAAATAGTATTTATGGAATAACAAGATATTTATCAAGTTCATTTTGACTATTAACAGGCAATAGATAATTAAAAATATCAAAAAGGTTGATTGATAAAATGTAGAGAATGGTATGGGTCTAATAAAAAGAGTAAATAGTTATAAGAACAGTGACAGATATTACGTAATATCATTTTATTATAAGCGCCTACCTCCCACCTCCAGGTAAGATATTCTGATCATGTGCAAATCTATCAAGTCATGTAATCCTGACATTTTATTATCAGAGTCAAAGATTTTGATTAATTATACAATAAAATTAGTTTTTGATTAACTATATTAAAAGTTAAAATTAAAAGTTTAAAAATTAATGCCTTGTAAAAGTAAAATATTAATAAATTAAATTAAATAGATATTTAAATTTGATAAAAAATGTTCAAAAATTCTGTTAAAATCAAATCGAAAATATGATGGCCAAGATTCCGTGAAATTACATTATTGTTGTATCATAATGATCATACCTTTTGCTGTGGGAGTTTTTTAACACGTCCTTGACGCGTTACAGAACATTTATTTTGTATTTAACTACCTGTTTCACATTTTGCATTCACAAACACGCAAATACTTTATCCTAAAGATTAAAAATGAGCAGGCAAACATTTTTTTTTAGTCCTAAGTTCAATAAAAAACCAATATATGATTCACCAAATAACAAGTATCAAAAGTTTACAAATGCTTATGTATATAGTGTTATAGTAAAAACAAGTAATTATACTCCCAATTACGCTACTGTTTGTCGTGAAGCCACAAATGAATGGAATAATGTTAAGAAAGAGAGTGCTGAAAAAATTGATGATATAATTCGAGACTATATGGCTACACTGCTTAATCTTTATGATATACAATCAATGAGATACAAGCGTTCTGTACTTACGATGCCTATAGAAAAACCAAGTTCTTCACTTCCTACCATTTATTCAGTAAATATCTTACCAGAAATTCCTACAAATGCATCAGCTCAAAAAAAAGCAGCTAATGCAGTCAAAACAGCTAAAAAAAAGCTTAACAAATTTGAGCAAATTTATAATATAACCAGTGATGCTCAGATTCATAATGACATGTATCAAAAAATAAAAAAATTGCAGAACGAAATTAAATCTAATAAAGATAAAATTACCAAGTTAAAAAGAAATGCCAAATATACTCAAAATTGTAAAGAAAAAAAACTAAACTACTTATTGAAAAACAGGAGATTGTCCGTTATAATAAACCTGAAAAGCTATCATTTCTCTTCAAGCATCGGATTTGCATGCCCGTATACATGATTGCATAGAATTTGGATCAGCAGATGCAAAATGACGAAAAGAAGCTGTTAAAGTCTGGATCATAGAAAATTTACGCAAAAATCTTAAAGAAAAATATGATATCTATATAGCGAGAACTACCTTAAATAATTACTTAATACCTTGTCAAGCAAATTCGATCATCGCGAAAGCACATCACCATCCGGCATGGGTTGCTGTTGCCAGAGTTTCACGTACTGAAATGCGTGAACATTCTGATAGTCACTATTGCCTCGTGTTAGTAAAATATGCAAAGCAATTTGCTAGCACTTTGCTAATGTTTCAGTTGTCATCTCTCAAGATGATAAGGTGAAAATCAGTCTTGGGGTGCCTGCAGTAGGTCACACATTCCGTATATTGTAATCCATTAATGAATCTACAACTATAGCAGATCACGATTTTCCTGTAAAGTTCGGACAGAAATTAATTCCATCAGTGTATTTGATGATAAACCCAAACGAATCTAATGATAAATTGCGGACAGGATAGTTAGCAATTTTTATACGTTCTCATTGGTCTCTTGAAACATCCTCACTTATACATATGCAAGATTTGGAAAGCCTTACCTTAAATCCCCAATATGAAGGCACATTAAAAACAGATAGAAAAATTCGACCGATATAGATCTTATTGGTAAATAGAGGGCCAGATGAGAATCTTAGACACTTAAAAAATATTAAGGCCTATTGCCAACTTTTCAAAAAGTTTGATTTAGATTTTTTAAGTGTGCGAACACATGCCTCAAGGCAATCAAAATATAATCCGGTTGAAAGAGATATGGCAATATTGTCTAGTAAACTTGCCGGTATCACTTTACCAATTGACTATTACGGTACATATTTGAATACGCAAGGGAAAGTTGTAGATCTAGAATTGGCTGCTCGAAATTTTCGCTATGCAGGAGAAGCTTTATGTGAAATTTGGTGTTGTGATTTAATTTTTGGAAAGAAGGTTGATGCTCGTTATGTTAATGTACTCACGAATCTATTTGAGCATATACAATTAGAGGGAAAAGAAAAAGAAAAGGTTGAAGAATTAAAATGGAGAAAAAAAGAATAGAAAAAATCAAAAAATACAGACAAAGAAACAACACATACCTTTTCTGAATCTTTTGTACTATAGTCTTAGATCGAAACCCATTGTAATTTGTGTACCTACTCTCTTGATATTAAAAGATGCACAAATACTAGTTGCTGTGGACCACCCAGAGCCAAGGAAGCTATGGACTTTCTTCACCTACATAATGGCTTCTTACCACCTATTACTAAAGCTAGAGATAGCCGGTTTACAAATCCTATTTACCTTCTTCAATATAGTGATCTCTTGAAAATACCAGGATATGATGCATATTGTACGTCGATTGAAAAAAATACATACTTACAACTTTGCTGTTCTGTTTGCCAAAAATACTTCCCCACTCTCATATTTTTGACAAATCATAAGCGATTAATGCATTCTACTACCTGAAGACAGCCTAAAAAACAACAAGCTTTCGATGATTTCTCTCTTTTTCTATCTCAACAAACAGGATTGTATGGTGAAATGGAGTTCGACTTGAGAGCTTGTAATTCAGATGAGAAATAATATTTTATTATAAAAGTATATATACGTGTATGTAATCTGTATAAAT